ATGATCATAGCTCAGTGACTGAGAGCAGCTCAATGATCACCCGATCAATGGCTTAAGCATATGATGCCGGTGGTGTATGCTTTATAAAGAAATTTAATTCAATAAAAATAATTTAATGTGTACGATAATATAGTTTTATTAATTACATGAGGTTTTTAAGAAAAATGATTAAAGAACGTGTAACTCGCTATTAAAACTCTTTGATAAAATTGTAAAGCTGCTATTATAATGTGGGTTAATAGTCTAATTCCTTTACAACGCGAATCATTTTATTTCGAAGTTAACTATGAACGAAATTGTGTAATACAGTCTAACCTCGATATAATCACCTCCTTGGGAAACAGGAATTAGGTGATTATAACAAGAGGTGACTATAGATAATAAATTCTATATAATCACCTTAATAATGAATAACAAAATAATGTGATTATAAAAAATTTTTTTAATTAATCGTAGATCATTGCTACATATAAAACTTTATTTTTTATAAGTAAATCGATTACTGCGCATTAATAAAAGTTGTTCTACATAATAAATTACATGTATTATAGAATGTTTATAATTTTATAGTAATTTTTATTATATTAATTTTACATTTTACTTAATACGAAAAAAAGATTAAAAATTTTTTAATTTTTTTTCGTATAACGTAAAATATAAAATCAATATAATAAAAATTACTCCAAAAATTATAAAAATTTTAATTTGTTATGTAAAACAACTTTTATTAATGCGCAGTAATCGATTTACTTATAAAAAATAAAGTTTTATATGTAGTAACGATTTGCGATTAATTAGATTTTTATTTTATTAACTAATTTTTTAAAAAATTATATATACGCTTTTTAAATTTTGATTCTGATTATTAATATTTTAACTTTATTATTACTCGATTGAATCTTTATTGCGAAGGAAAAACATATGGGAATTGGGATCGCCACCACATAGTACTTTGAAGAGGATCGTTACATTATGTTTGCTTCTTTCTGTCTGCTCATGTATAAACAAATTATTGCTTGTAATCATCATCTTAACAGGCCACATACTATATAATTTTAGAAACATCTAATTGGTTGGGTGAGCGGGATGAAAAACCCAGACAAATTTTAAACCAGCTAAAATTATGATATTTTGTCTGGGAAAACCCCATTCACCTACAACTTCACAAAAAATCATAAAGCGGACTCAGTTTAATCCTTATATCTATTTATGCATATTGGCATAAGATACTTACCTAAATTAAAACCTTAATCGGTAGTCATTGCACGATCATACTAAGCAGCTTTATGTATATATTCATTAAGATCCTTGCACTGCTATGCAGCCATAAAGCTTACACCACCGGCATCATATGCTTAAGCCATTGATCGGGTGATCATTGAGCTGCTCTCAGTCACTGAGCTATGATCATACTAAGCAATCTCTAATTTATGAAGTCATTAAGCTGAAATTAAGGTTATGCAGCCGTGGAGCCTTACATCTATTAACGCCTATCGGCCTGAGATACTGTACATTAAGCGGACTCTACGTCATATATTCATTAAGGTCCTTGCACTGCTTGCAGCCGTAAAGCCTTATATATACCAATGCCTATCAGCATCATATGTTTAAGCCATTGATCGTAGTCATTGAGTTGCTTTCAGTCACAGAGCCACGATTATAGCAAATTCTAATTTATAAAGTCATTAAGCTGCAATTAAGGTTCTTGCACTATGCAGCCGTGGAGCCTTACCTAATAATATACTTATACTAAACAGTCATCTATTCATTAAGGTTCTTACACTGCTATGCGTCCGTAGAGCCTTACATCTATCTATGCCCATCGGCATACGTTCTTAATCTATTGATCGAGTGGTCAGTGCAATGCTTTCACTCACTGAGCACGATCATGCTAGGAAAACCCTAATTCATAGTCAATGAGCTGCAATTAAAGTCCTTGCGCTGCTACGGAGATTTATATCTATTAATGCTTAATGGCATAAGATACAAAAGTTAAAACATTGACCAGGCACTACATATCAAATAATCATTGCTGCAAATTAGGTCCTTGCACTCTATGTAGCCGCAGAGCCTTACATCTATTAATGCCAGACTTTATGATCCTTGCAGTGTTACGCGTCTTACAACTACCGATACCATCAGTACACGTAAGTCATTAATCGAGTGATCATTGCACGGTTTTCAATCACTAAGCTACAATCTTACTAAGCAAACTCTAATTCATACAGTTCGTTGAGCTGCAATTAAGTTTCTTGCACTATAACGCAGCCGTGCCTATACTGTATCTATTAACTATTGATCGGGCGGTCACTACACTAAGCCATGATTTTACTAAGCAGGCTCTATATCATATGGTTACTGCTAATTCAGATAGTACTCTTTCTAACTTTTTGAATGGGATGGGTAGGATCATGAAGCCAGCCTAATATCATAAGGTGGGCGATAGTGAAACCAAAGATGAAATCTCCTTAATGCTGCAAAGTATTCTGATATATGCTAGCTTTCACATGATTAAACATTATATCATATTATGCTTACAAATCCAAGTACTATTATGTCATTTTCGATCTTGCAATAATGTTGGCTTCGTCACTTCGTTGACGAGCTGTAACTTTATCAAGGTAAATTTAATATAATTTATGACTTTTATTTTTAAAAATAGTGTGATAGTGATTATAAAGTGATTGTGACTATATAGAGAGTAAAATAATATAAATTTAATTGGTAAAAAAACAACTGTGACTATATCAAGTTTGTGACTATATCAAGGGTGACTACATCGAGGTTAGACTGTATATGAATAATACTTGCTTAGTTCAATGACTATCTATCTGTTTGGATCATGTGTTGATAAAGCCTGTTTTTGATTGGTCAAAAATCTTATGACAAAGCTAGTCTTCCCTGCTGTTAAAACCAGATACACTATATATTGCATAAATTGTATTCTTGATACCCATAAATAAAAAATAACAATAACTGCATCACCCTAACCCGTACTTGGCAACTAATCGATTATCTATGTTATGTAACCAAAATAATCAATTAGGTCGGAGATTTAAAAAAAAGTCAATATTATAAAAAAATTTGTAATATTACGGATAAATAATACATATAATGTAATAAATCTACTTTATCCAAAAAAAATTCTCTTATGCGATAATTATATCTTGCCAAAAAATCGATTATAATAACACAAAGCTATTTTCCTACATCGTTTTCCTAATAACTTATAATTAAATCTTCCTTAATCTATGAGTTGTTCCAACAACGCGATTATCCAATTCGCCTGCAGTATGGGAAATATGATCCAAAACTTCATTTTGGTTTCTCACTTCTTCTCTAGCCGTTGTAGCCTAAAATAAAAGAATTAAAAAATTGTAAATAATTAGATTCACCACCATTAGAAAAATATTTTAAAGGACTCACCTCATCTTTTAGTTGAGTCAACCCTTGCGAAAGCATATCCAAATTATTGTCCAATTGATTTTCTATATGATCATCAGCTTCATCTGGCTCGAATTGGAAATTACTTCTATTTGATGATGGAGACTTTCTACCATAACTACTAGGTATATCACTTTGTTTTAAAGCTTCGTTGATTCTTTTTTGTGATTCGTAATTGCCAGTTCTCGTATGCATTCTACTGTCCCTTTCTTGTTTATGCATCGCTTGAACTCTTGCTAGCTCAGCTGCTTCACGTTTCTTTTTGGTAAATGGATTGTCTATTTCAAAGCCGAACATGGATCCATTAACCTACAAATAACTTTCTCTTATAAATTTCATAATCGATAATCATTTATTAACTAATGCGTGCCACAAAACGAACTTTTTTCAATTTTCCTGCATGTTTGTTTGCACGTTCTGTGTGTGCTTCAGAAAGATCCATTTGACGCGCCGTGTGATTTATTCGCTCTGTATTTAACAAAAAACTGGTTAGTAAAAAAAAAATGTTATTAAATAATAATAATATAAAATTTTAATTCCTACATATAATGTAATCTGATGATTATAGATATATTTACCAGTCTGTTCTCCAAGCTTATTCAAGGTATTTCGTGCTGACACTTCTGCATCATTAACCATCTGCAACGACCGTTGAGTAGAGGCTAAGGAGTCCATTTTAGTATCTCGAATTTGAGATTTAATCTCTTCAACGTTTTTCGTTTCTTGTTGCTGTTGCCCATAAGGATCATTGTTTCCACCGTATCCATATCCACCAGGCGGTGAATATTGTCCGCCAGGTGGTAGAGATTGATACCCACCCTGTTGGCTATACTCTCCACCATATCCATATCCACCAGGCGGCGGATATTGTCCGCCAGGTGGTAGAGATTGATATCCACCCTGTTGGCTATACTCTCCACCGTATTGTTTAGTGCGCGTTTCTTCTGCGTCACACCTGATCTTGGTCATAGATTGGTCAGTGAAATTTTTGGGTCCGTATTATTTCAATATTATTTCACCGACAATCACTTCACCGACAGCTCATTTAGCCAACATCACGCCAGGTGAAATTTAGCAAAAATATATACCTGCAAATAATCAAATGCTTAACCCTAACCCTATGTGATGTAAATGTGATGTCGGCTAAATGAGCGTTCGGTGAAATGATTGTCGGTGAATTGATCGGAGCCGAAATCTTTTAGGTTGGTACAGTTCACATAATCTCACGGAATAATAGTACGATTACCATCAAAATTACCGAATATAGCGATAGGGATCGTCTAAAGCCAAGTATATAGTAATTTATATGCCTCACGTAACTTTTACTTTACAATTTTATTATTAATCAACTTAAAAACTACATCCCCGAACATAGAAACATCGGCAAAAGAAAAGCCTTTGATGTCATTTGATATCATTTGATGTCATTTGATGTCATTTTTGATGTCATTTAATTATTGTTATTTGGCTTAATATTAGAAATTAAATGACAAAACACTTATGTCATTCATCATTTGCCAATAGGTTGGGCAAATTTTGAAGTTACTACATATATATTGTAAAATATCCTTCATTATCGATCATCACATCATTAAAATTTTGAAACTTGATCCAACCCAGAAACCGAGACGTAAAAACGTAATTTTGACAAACTAGTTTAAATATAACAGATGGATCATTCAGGTAGATAAGTCATGTCACAAAAAATCGGCAGTGACGTGATATAAAAGCCACTCTGACTATATTTCTGTATTCGTGCTATTAATTTTATACATACACATTATTATTCGGGATCCAAAAAAGTTTTTATTAGTCAGAGTGGCTTTTATATCACGTCACTGCCGATTTTTTGTGACATGACTTATCTACCTGGATCATCTAAAGAACATAAAATTTTTGAATTCCCTACTGATCACAAGTAATCGGGC